CCCCAAAACCCCAAAACCCCAAAACCCCAAAACCCCATAAGTACACTCACTAGTTGAGTTAAATTATTTTCCGAAAAATTCTAATGAGGTTAAAATATTGTTCACTGAGTGGTTCAAGCCTGGGATGAGCAACAGGGGTGCTCTTCCTCTGTGTGCATGGCCTCTCTGCTCTCCTTGTTAGCTTTTATCATATCTATAGAATAATTGTATTACCTTACCTCTCCTCTTGTCATCATCAACCTTTGGTGTAGAGTCAATGATCCTCTTCTTTGCTATAAAATCAGTATGAACGAGTTACAATCGATTAATCTCTTCTTCTTGGCTGTGGGGGTAGAATTCGGAATGTTTTTCTGAATGATATGAATGTTTTCATTATTTTTTACACAATACGCTCCTACCTCCACTTTGCCATGATTATAGTGGATCAGAGTAGCGTTCTCGCAGTAAATAGCAACTGGGGCTACCTTAGAATCAGAGTTTTCTTTAAATTCCTCCCCAAGTCCTTTCTTAGGGAATTTATGCTCACTTTCTTTCTTTGAGGGAGAGTTATTTTCAGATTTCTGAATGGGGACAGCTTTGGATTCCTCTTTACGGAACCTCTTAGAAGGTTCCTTGGATTCCTCCTTGATGTCTTCCACTTCCTCAACCATGCTACCTAGTTCGCTCTTTTTGGAGTCAAGCTTCACTACCTCTTGAGGTACTCCATGAGGGTTTATCTGAATGTCTCCAGAGTCAGAATTATTCTCTTTAAGCAAGTTCAAAGATCTACAAGAATTTATAAAACAAACCTAATTTTGATGAAAATCTTACCCTAAGAGCTTGCTACACAGAGGTTGGTAGTTTTAAAGATTTTTAAGCTTTTAGGGAATCAATAAATATTGAGAGGTGAAACAGATCAGAATACTAGGCTATTTTTAGACAGAAGGTAGTATATTTTAACAGCTAGGCTAGCTTTAATAATCGTGTGGTATTTTCTCACATAAAAGGATCTGGTAGATTTCGATATATTAAACTCTTACTCCTCTAAAACCCCTCCTCTGTTCATATTTTTAATGGAGGATCCTCTGCAGATAGATCTGCATCTATCAGACTTAAGTCTGATAGGATTAAGCAGCCCTGGTCTCTGAATTACGCTTGATTTCTTAATTCTCTTGATATTTCTGTTAAAATTCTTTCAATTTCTTTGGCTGCTTCTTGAAGAATTGTTAAATTTTATTGTGTGTATTTCTACAGTTTATTTATAAAGCGTACGATACGGTGACTCTCCACTCATTTCTTGCTTCTTACATCTACCAGACCAGCTAAAAAACATTAATCCGATCCAACCAATGAAAATTTAGGATCTAAGGATGCTTACCTGGGTCGTAAGATTTGACACCATGAACTTTGAAATTTTCTAAAAGATCACCTACAATTTTACTCGCAGTCTGATTATTATTGTCACGCATCACAGAGGGCTTAGTTGAGCACTTGAAGATCCCCAATGTCTTCTTAATATTTGTCTTACTATTAATATCCTTAGGAACATTTTGAGGAGAATTTGGGAGGGAGATCTGTCATTTGAACATTAATTAGGCTTACCTTCTTCACAAAAGCTATATAGACAGGGTAAAGGAATGAACAGATACTACTTACTCTTATTTTTCTTATCCTCTTTCAAAGGCATGCTTCTCTTTGGGTTTACCATTATTTTTGACTGGCCAAAGTCCAGATCATCAAGATCACTATCGTCACTTGGTGCTAAGTAAGGGTTGAAGTAGACAGGTAGATGAGCCTTAGAGAATGATTCGTATAAGGAAGGAGCATTCTCTTCTGATTTCTCGCTACTAGGAAATGGTGATGAATCCTCACTCAGATTGTCATATTGTATTTCAAATTTATCACCTTTCTTATTTTATATATTTCTTTCCTGTTCGTTCTGCCTCTAGTGCTAAGTCAAGGTAATCGTCCGGATAATGGACTTTAAATTCCTCTTCAGAAAGTCTCTCCAACCTCCATCCAAAGGGAAGAGGTACCTTAATGTGTTCTGGTGCTTCAAAATAGGGCTCTTTCAGGTGTTCATAATATCTTTTTCTCCAGTGAATTCGGAATTGTGCTGCATGTTCGACTAATTGAAGGTAGCTTTCCATCATTTTAACGTACTTGCGCTCTTCAAACCAGTATTGAATCCAGTAACAATCAAGGCAGACTCTAGAGGCGCCTGCGTAGCCTCCACTTCCTTTAATAGAGTGAGCTTTCTGCATCATAGCCCCATAGTTGCCAACCTGGACTGCAAATGCAATATAAAAGAGGTTTTCTAAAAATCCTGAATCTTCATAGCTTGGTAGTAATTTAAAGAACAGTTCTGGGCTAAATCACTTGTTAAGATGCTAAAATTTTCGAAAATCTTGAAAAATTTGATCATTAAGCTGGCTTGGCGATACCCAGCATAGAATTCTAGCTTCAAACAAAACAGGATATAACGATAATTCTGTCAAGAATAGCTATAGCTGAGAGAGGATAGCTTATGAATGCAAAGAGTGGGAAGACTTACCTGACAATCTTCATGCCTTTCTCTACATCTACAGGCGTGCTAGTATCAAGCTCAACCTTTTTTATTTTCTTTACTCCCTTTTGTTCCATTTATATGTCCCTTATATTAAAATTTGCAATAATTATATGAAGAAGTGGGGTTTTGGGGTTTTGGGGTTTTGGGGTTTTGGGG